CATAGTCTGTAGAGGTTTCAGTCTATAGACATCTATTAGCCTTCTTTCTCTCTCTTACATTTTACACAGGCTACCTGCCATACAGTGGATGTAGCACTCACACCCTTAATTCTATCTAGAACTATGCCAAACCATTTAAATAATTGATTTAGTAATCACACGCCCTTCATCCAAACACTACATACTCTAGACGTAGCCACCTCTGAAAAGCCCCACCTATGACTTTATAAGGCTTTGTGGGGACATCAGACACTAACGTAACAAGCCCTTACAAGAATCCGACCATGCTTTCACTTTACTTCAGTCTTCCAGCCTTTAGAGCTGCAAATAAATAGTTTTCTATTGTTTAAGGAACAAAATCATGAGCCAAATATGGTAATGAATACTAGTAATCCCTTGAAATGAATTTGAGGCCAGCAAGGGCTACATAGAATTGAAGGCCAGCCTGAAATACATAGCTAGACACTATCTCAAAAAAAGAAAAGGAGCTCAGCAATATTGTAGCACTATTATTTTAATAAATTAATTACAAAGATTTTATTGCTATTACAAATACCACCAGAGTTAAAAAATACCCTAAATGACAATCAGCAGAAGGCTTACTTAAAAATTCATGACTTATCCATATACTGAAAAAATCTATGTAGTCACACAAAACAATGAGGCAACTTTAATATGTGGTGTATGCTAGATAAATAAGGTGCATGTTTAAATTTTTTTAAAAGTATTACAGTAAAAGTCACAGTGCCATTAATCTCCCTCAAAATACTACTCCTGGCTTTGAACACACCCATTTGATCATTCCTGCCACTTGCTGAAGTAGTTCTAGAGGCCTTTTTGGCAAGTGTCTTTAGTTGACCTGTTATGTCAGCCTCCATGTCCTGAATCATTTCAAAATATTTACATTTTACAATAATTTTTATTTTGGGGAACAACTAGAATTTATATGGTACATGATTTGGTGAATGAGGTGGGTGAAGACATACTATAATATTTTTATTTGACAGGGATTTCCATAAATGTTTTGAATCAAGTCAGATATCCACAAACTTCAGAAAATGGTAAAAATAAGTGGATAAGTGCACTCAAAGCAAAAGAAAGTATTTTGAGGGTGGTTAATAGTAATGTGTCTTTTATTACAAAAAATATTCAAACATTTAAACACATACCATAATTTTTTTATCAGTTTGGGTATGGAAGTATCTCCAAAGTATACATTTAAGCTGATAAAGCAATTGTAGAACACTGTGAAGAATGTGTTAGCATTTGTGCATACCAGGTAAGAGGGAGAAAAATACAGGATTTATTAATTGGTATACAACATATATCCCTGAAAAGATTCCTAATAAGCTGACAACTTTAATGGCTATTTGTGAGGCAAAATGGGTGACTAGGTGAAAAAATTATGTGGGAGAAGTCTCACTCTATAACCTTTCATAGAGCTCATTTTGGCAGCATATATACTAAAATATACCCTTTCATATATTTAAGTCACATGGAATATATCACTAACTTAAAATACATTTTAAAATTAATTATAACCAGGCATGATAGCACACATTTGTAATCCCACCAATGAATGGCATGAGAATAGCTGCAAATTGTAGGGCAGCCTGGAATACATAGAGTTCAAGGGCATCACAAACTGTACACTGCGATCTTGTCTCAATAAAAAAAAATGAGTTTTAAAATTTTAGAGGAAACAGCTAGGCATGGTAGTGCATGCCTACAATCACAGCACTTGCAAAGCTGAGGCAGGAAGAACCTACCAAGTGTCTGTGGCCAGACTTGTCTATGCATTAAGTTCAAGGGTATCCTGAACTATATAGTGAAAACTTGTGTTAAAAAACAGAAAGAAGGGCCAGCCAAATAGCTCAGTAGATTAAAGCACTTGCAAGCAGGTGCAGGGGTCAGGGGTTCAATCCCCAGGCCTCTGGTGCAGACCCCGCTTCCGGGGCATGCTGAGATGGCAATTGAGGCTGGGTGTGGTGGCACACACCTGTAATCTCAGCTCTTGGGAAACTGTAAACAGGTACAATCTAGTAGTGAGATCCTGAACACCCTGTAGACCCTTCCTTAAAATACTGGAAAAAAAAAACTGAAAGAGAAAAATTTTAGAAGAAACAAAATACAAATGTTGGCTTAATTTGTTCTATATGCTAATTATTTTCACTTCTGATATAAATTCATCTGTCAAACACTGGGTCCAAAGGTTTACTTACCAAAAATTATCATATTATTCTGGAGATGAGTAACCAGAAGCTAGATAACACTGAGTTGAGGATAATAAATGATTAGAAATCTGATTTCTAGCTATTAAGCTTAATTTAAAAATTAGTACATAAAAATCAGAAATAAAACCAAACATAGTCACATATGTTCTTCAGTCAACAAATGAGCTCAACACTACAAAGCTTATTTACAGTCTACTTAGGAATTAGACGTCAGTTTTACAAGATGATCACTTAGGTCAATTATCCCAACTAAACTTTGCTTTATTTACAAAAACATGGTATCACAGAAGTAGACCCTAGAAGATAGTCTACAAAATGTGTACCAAATGTTTATGTGGAAAAGTAATCAGTTAAGTGTTATGAAGACACAATGGCATTAGATGTCATGAAGAACCTCTAACTCTGAAAAAAAGTAAAGACTTTGATTCAGCATGTGCAGGACACATAATAACCCAATTTTCAGAAAATATAAGGCAACTTACATACTGAAAAGAGTATTTCTAAATCCAAGGATGAGGGATGGTTCTATAGAAGTGACATTTAAATTGAGACTAATGATGGGAGAAATACTAAAATTACTGTGCAAGAAAAATCATGAAAATAAGCATATTATAAAGCAGTGTATTCATAAGTATAAACTACGTAGGCCATATAACCATCTCTAAAGAAGAGTCAAAGAAAGACATGCCATGGAGGCTAGAGACAAAATTAGATCTTAAAGAAAAATTAGTATTTAGACAGGAAGGTAAAGAAGATACTTAAATAGAAAATTACATTTAAAATATTTCTTATGCCTGACATACATGTGAACATTTTTTGCTAAATGAATTACATGTCCAAAGGAAATCTTTTCACTTAACTAATTAAGCATGATCATAAACTACAAATGATTCAGGACAAAGGAGAATACATAAATGTATCAAATAATGATAATGTCACTGCCAGAATGAGAAAAGATGAGTGATTGATGATTCCTACCAGTAGACAAAGACAATCTTAAAAGATAATTGATAACTTGACTAGGCTTGATACCTTGATTTGTGGAATTCAAACAGCTAATCCACTAAGAATCCCATGTTGGAAATGCATGTAATAGAACAATGAGGGTGGCAATGGTGACCTAGCGCTCCACACCCCACTTTTCTTTCCAATGCATGCTGAAATCACAAGCAACAAATATCTGTAACTCCCTAGTGCTCTGAAGTAGAGTCATTCACTTACTTAATCTTGAGAATGGACTAGATAGCCATATTTCTCATTTCTATTTTCAAGTTATATTTCTGCTCTTATATTTTCTACCCGTCTGCCCTCTAAACTAATCTGGAGACACTGTTCCCAACCCATTCTCAGGGCCTTCAACAGTTATCAAAGATTACCATTTCTCTCATAAGTAGTCTCCCAATACTCTGAAGATTGAGATGATTAGGTCATTTATGAGTCACTGATTTATGTTATATAAAGGTTCTGTCAGTTATATCCTCCTAGTTAAGTTGTCCAAATAATTAGAGGAAAAGGAAGTTATTAGCTTTTTTATTAGAGGTGATTAAGTCCACTGGGAAAAATGTTAAATTAGAAGCAAATAAAATCTATGCTGTAGCCTATCAGTATTTAGACAAGCTAATTTGATTTATCAGATTTCCTTTCACTTTATGTGGAAGGAATTTTAAGCACATCAAAGTACTACTAATTCTATCAGCAGTGTTCCTGAGAAAGAGTTCCAAACTGAGTAGGAAAAGGAAATGAAACTAAGATTATGACAGCAGTCTCTATCAAATACATTATCACATGTCAGCTACCCGAATATTTTTAAGATACAATTATTAATCTGCATTCCACAAATGGGGAAAGGCAATGCCTCAGTTAATTGTTAGCAATATCATTTCAAAGCAGATCTTTGCGTTACCACAAACCATCAGAGTCACCACCAGTTTAAAAACCAAACTTTGAGATTATTCTCTTTGCCCAGTCATTATTACACTGGATGACACGAAAAAGCTTAATAATTGTTTTTCTTTATGATGAATTCATTGCCAAAAGTAATAAGAGATTGCCTTCGCCACCTGATGTGATTTCCTTTCCCCCACATTTACTTTCCTCCACAAAGGACAGCTCCACTAAGAGGTACCAAGTGCACTAGCTCCAGCAATCACAGTAACTCGGCCCAACCTTTGCTTACACAGAGAACTGAAGGGCCTAGTTAGGGCCTTGGATTGGGTTTCTTCCTACAGCTAAACTAAGCTCCTCTTTAAAGAACTGGTAAACTCAAAGCAGCTCCTCCCTGTGGCTCCTTCCAGTATCTCATGATCCTACTAATTTCCAATAACCTAGGCTCCCACCTGTACCTCCGCCCTCTTTCTAGAAGCATCTCTGTGGGTAAATGGCCTGCTAAATCTTGTCATCTGGCTGCGACTTTGTGTAAGTTTAAGTCAGACACAAACCTCACCACATAAGTATTGAGAGCACTGACCCAGGGTGGAATAAACTATCCATCTATTTTTTAATCTCTTTCACTTCTTCAAGAAACCTCAAAACAAGTCCTTCCTCCCTTTCTTAGTCCCTTTTGACTCAATCTTTAAGGAGGTCATTTTCCCCTGAGCTTCATATTTTGAGTGTTTTTATCCTTCTGCTCCACCCTCCCTTTGCTAAAGCTGAAAATAAGTGTGTGTGTGTGTGTGTGTGTGTGTGTGTGTGCGCGCGCGCGTGTGTGTAGGGGGGTAACCTAGGCAGAGACAAGAATGGGTGGATTCTAATCTCGGTGTCACTTACCGCCCTTGTCTCTAGCTGAGGACTCCTGAAGTGTCTGAAGCTCACGCGGTCCTGCTGTAGGCTCATACTCCTGAGCTGATCGCTAGACAGCTGTTCCACTCACACCCCCACCCGTCCCTGTCTTGACTGCGTGCCAGGCTACGTTCTCTTCTCGGGTTTCTCTTTCGCGGCCCCGCACCTTCCCTTTTTCTTCCGGCTGGAAAATGGGGAAGAAGGAGAAAAGAGAGTCTCTTCAGACTCAGCTGGCCCACCCTCAGAACAAGAAAACAAAGCTCTCTATCATCCAATCCAAAAATTAGGACCCGCAGAGACGACTTCCTAAAAAGAAACCTCCCCCTGAAGTCTTTCCCCAGCTAAAAATGAAGTGGGTTCGCCTGGTTGATGAAGCAACGCTGAAGAGCCTCCGTTCCCCTTTTACCTTCACTAATTCAGTTCCGGCCAAGCCCACTTTTCACCCAGCCTCTTAACTCTGCACACCCTTGAAAAGAAGGTCGGCGGCGAGGGCTAAGAAAACCGCCAAGAACCTGAAAACACTACTGAGCACAAAGTTGAGGCAGAGAAGAAATCATTCAAGATAGGAGCCCAAGACGAGACATCAGCAGGATCCCTCCAAATCCGCCTTTGCAGCCCCACACCCCAGCTCCTTCCTAAAAGGAAAGAAGGGAGGAGAAAATGCCTACGATTGGTCGAAACACTTAGGAGAACGCCAGCCTAGGGCAAGAGCTTCAAGGAAAAACAGCAGCAAGTCTTTGCGCGTCCTCTAGGGCGGGGTTTCTTGGAGGCTCCGAGCTGTCCCACACAGGTCAGAACGTGAGGTGCTCCCTCTAGGCAACCTCTGTGCGTGGGGTGATTTCGTCTTCTTCCGCCCAGGCTGGGCCAGAAGAGAGGTGTTACTACAGTGAGGACTCCACCTTGGGTGGAGTTCCTTAAAAGCACCTGGGGCCTTTGAAACAGAAAGCAAACTAGGAAGAGGTGGAGAAGGGTGGGGCTAAGAAGGGAAAAGGAGAAGAAAGAGAGTGGGGCGGGGCCCAGGGCTATGAGAGCTGGCCTCGCCCCTGGCGGCGGTTTCCCTCTGTCTCCAGTAGCAGCAGGCACAATTGCAATCAATTTCGGGTTTTTATTTTTTAATCTGTCAGAGAAAAAGGCTTGATCACCTATCTGTGCTCACTCTATAGAGAAGGGTGAAAACAGTGAGGATCGTGGCTGGGGCGTGTACAGAAGAAAAGCAATGAGAAAACGGGCAAGGATAAAGCTGGCATGTAGAAGCAATATTTCCCCTCCTAGCTTACCATAGTTACATGTGACACCAGCAAAGGCATCTAGGACTGGCGTGTTCTGGGAGGAGGCTAAAAGGAAGAGATTGGGGCTGGGTAATTTTTCAAGCAAGAATAATGGAAGGAGGTGATGGTGAAGAAGTGGGTGGAAAAGGAGGAATTGAAGATGAATTGAAAATACTTTATTATGTGACACCGTAGGATATTTAAGAAAGGTTTTCTCACTTTCCCAGATATCAGCTCTAAGAATAAAATTATCAACCCCTTGAGATTAGCCTTTTAGACAGATAGTGGCTAAGATCCCCGTAGAGCTGAATCCACAAAGTGGAAGCTGTGGACCCAGGATTTCTTGCACATATCTAGTTCATTTTAATTGAAGATCAGAAAGTCACCCTCAACCAAGTGTTCTTTTTTAGAGCCTCTTCCTTAGCACAACCCTTTTAAAGTGGAGGAAATAGAGGATAGATGAGAAAAAAAAAAAAAACAAGTTGGGAGGGAGCAGGGAAGTAGAAGAAATAATAATGCCTGACATCTAATATAAGCAATGCAGTGGGCCAGATGTTTTTCCACTCTTCGTATCTCTGATTATTCCTAGTAAGAAATCTGAAAATTATATATTATTGTATACTCTCTTGTGCCCCTTTTTATAAAATAATGAAAAAAATTTTAGAGTCATTCACCAGGATTTCCCAATAGGTATGTTCAGTTACCTAATTAGTATTTCTACCTGAATGCTTTCTAAGTATTTTAGATTCCCACAAACACACCCTCTTCTTCCTCTACCACCATGAATCTTAACATTCTAGGGAGCAGCTTCTTCTTCTTTACTTCAGCAAATTCCTGAGAATCCTAGGCTCTTTCTATGCCTGAATAACTACTTTCTCCATCTGAAATGGCCAAAATACTTTGTTCACCTTGAAAGGATTAACTCTAAGTCATACTCCCTCTCATTTAATTCCTTTAGGCAAAACTGCACACTTATTTAATTCCTTTAGGCAAAACTGGACACTGTTGCCTCTGTCCTTTCTCCATCTCAGGGCACATGGTTGTTGCTATAATTGCCTTCCTTTATTAGACTACAAAGTCCTTGAGGTTAGGTATGAAATGTTATAATTTCTATAATTTGCATGGCAGATATTATTGCTGTTAAGAGCAATAGTAACTGTTATGTATTAACTATATGCCATGCTCTGTTGTCAATCTCATATATATTATCAGCTCTTTCTGAAAATTTTGTGGGCAAGTATTATTGCTATGATGGTTTTACAAATGAGAAAACCAAGAAGCAGATAAAACAGCATCCTTATATATATGCTGCATGGAACAATGTTCTTCTAGCAGAAGTACTACAAAGAACTCTCTATTTCCCAATACCATACCTCTCTCTGATCACTGGCTCACCCATGCTTACTGCAAAAAGGTAAGATATATTAATATAGGAACCATATAGATAAGTATACACAACTCTACGTATTTCTTTAAAAAGAATCGCTTTATCTCTTGGAACTTCAATTTCTTAATGTATAAAATTTGGGGAATACTACTCAATACACAATTTTCACTATTCCAACCAAGGTTATTTTCAGTAATAGTGGAAATTTGTAAATTCAAGTGTGTGAAAGGTATTGGATTGTTATATCAAAAATAAATGTATGTTTGTGATATGCAGAAGAGGATGTGTAGATAAGTAGTAAAATTTAGATTAGACACTGCAATTCCCTATCTAGGCTGGGTGCATCATGTGTCAGTTTGGAAATGTTTTTGAAGACAATCTATCATTTTTAAGGTAGCTAAACATTTTATATATCTTTAAACATTTTTCTGGTTAAGTAGTTTATTTAACCTTTTTTTGGTCGGATTCCACATTTCTGTATAGAAAACATGATGTCAGATAACAAATGTAGGTTTTAAGATGAATTATTGCACCTCAGCAGAAACAAATTTGAAATTCTTTACCATGAAATATTTCATCCATTTCTCCAATGTCAAGACCAATGGAACGTAATAGGGGAGCGAATGAAAACATCTATTGTCTCCAAGAGATTCTAGTGCAGAAGCCCTTGGTTTCATAACACTCAGTCTATTTTAATTAGATTACTATAATTTCTCTGAGTCTTTTAGAAATGTCTTCTTTCTCAATCAAATTAGGATTTAAATGATTTAAGGAATTACATACCTCATGACCACCATTAGTGGCAAAGGCAGATTTTTTTTTCTTTTTTTTTTGTCTTTTATAACCAACATGTGGTTAAATTATCTATGTCAGATGAAAGTTTGTGAAGGAGAGAAACATAACTGGAAATTGTGATCAGTTTCCTTCTCCTAGGAAGCACCACAAGCTCTCTTGGTTTTAGCTGGTTTAAGAAATAAAAGCCAAAGAACAGACAGCAATATCTTCAACCCCTTCCATTCCACTCCAAACCTAAGAAGACTGACTACTTGAAGCTTCATGCTGTATTTTCCATTATATATCTCAAAAATCAGACAAAGGGCCAGCCGCATAGCTCAGTGGCACAAGCACCTGCCTTGGAGGTGTGAGGTCCTGAGTTCAATTTCTGGTACCAATGAAAGAGAAAAACAATCAGATGAAGAAGATAAGAATCAAATTTTGTGTTGAACCCAATGAGAGATAGTTGGAAATATGTAGACATTGTGTCAAGGCTCATAAAGTGTAGCTATTTTCCTCTACCTCTTCATCCTTATACCTGTTCTTTTTCTCATGAACGCCAACTTATAAACTGCCAAGGCAGAGTCCAAAGCTGAGTGCTAGAGGGAAGGGCAGACTCCACCCTTCCAGCTCCAGGAAAATGACAATAATTTTTAAAATCATCCTTCACAATATCATCCAAAAAATGAAATATGTAGGAATCAATCTAACAAAGAAATCAAAATTGAATTTTATTATTATTATTATTATTATTATTATTATTATTATTATTATTTAGTTACATTGAAAATTTTAACACTCTGAAAAAGAAGACTGAAGAGGCTATCAGAAAATGAAAAGATATTCCCTGCTCATAGATATGAAAAAAACAACACTGTAAAAATGAGCATGCTTCCAAAATTGTTATACTGATTTAATGCAATCCCTATTAAAATATCATCAGAATAACCCACAGATCTGGAGAAAACATTCCTAAAATTCATTTGGAAACAGAAGAGACCCAGAATTGCAAAGGTAATCATGGTCAACAAAGGCAAGGCAGGTGGCTTCTCAATCCCTGACCTGAAATGATACTACAAAGATACTGTGATAAAATTATCATGGTAAAGGCAAAAAAATTGTCCTAAGGATTGATGAAACAGATGAAATATTGACACCACTACAAACACACTCAAGCCCCTTATCTTTGACAAAGAAGTCAAACAGGTTCACTGGAAGAAAGATAACCTCTTTAAATAATGGTGTGGAAAAAAATGGCTTTTCCAATACCAAAGACTAAATCTAGATTCATGTCTATAACAACACACTAAAGTCAAAATGGATCAATGACTTAAATATTAAAACTAAAACACTATATTAAAACTAAAACACTAAATCTACCAGAATGGAAATTCAGTAGAAATCTACAAGTTTTAAGGTAGGCAGAGAGTTCAAAAACAGAAAACAAACTGAATAGGAAGCACTTCAAAGAATCAACAACTGGGATCTCATCTCATTGAAGGGTTTCTACACAATTTGGGAGGGAATGTAAATGGCAATGAAACCAGATTAGACCCACTTATTTGAACAAGTATCAGATCTGCCTCCAAATGTTTTATATCTTTCAGAGAGCCAGTGTTTAATGCTATCTTTCAATGACATTGCTCCCACACCTTCCAGGGTTAACAGCAGGTGGCATTTGACCTGATAATTAAATTCCTTTTTGTAGTTGCCCTGTAATTACTTACTTCGCATTTATTTTCTGGTCTGTATTGATTCCTTTATTAATAGCAAAAATTATAATTTTATTTCCTTTATTTTTTCAATTTTAATTTCTTTTTTATCATAATTTTTATTCATTTTAATGAGAAAAAAAGATAAAATAGCAATGAAACAGTTTCAAAAAAAACTATAATTTTATAATGATGTCTTACCTTGGCTATTCCTTTTCAAAAATGGGATATATGCAACATATTTTAGTGTCATGTTAGGGGTTAGTATATGAAATTATTGAAATAATTTCAATAATTCATGAGGAATTATTGATAATAACCAATAGTGTAAAATGAATAGAAATCTAAATCTTCTCTTTTCATAAATATTTGAATCAGATATTCTTCCTGGAGAAGTGAGACTAAGGCCAAAATTCTCAGAAACATTTATTCAAAATCCAGAACAGTAAGGATATATGAATTTTCCATGAGGTAACTAGAAACAGCTGCCTTTTTGTCTAATGAAACCCTTAGTCAAAATGAGTCATTGTGTAATTCTGCACTTCTCTGTTGGTTCGAGGTGACCTTGTTCTTATGTCGTCACATTTTATTACTTGAGTTCATTTTTGGTACTCCTTTTGCATTCAGAAATTGTTTTACATTTTGCATGTCTTATTGAGATGTTGTTCATTACTTTTGTGAGTGCTTATCTAATTTCTAGGACATTTACTTTTCATGTCTATGATGCACAGGATAATGGAAGAACATTGTCAGTGGTTTAGAGTATCCTAAATTGTTA